GGGTATGTTAGAAATTATAGATCTACGGACAATTTGTAAGAGCTGGCAACGCCGCCTTCCCCACCTATCTTATTTACAGAGACAATTGCTCGGCAACAAAAACAAAAGACAGTCTGAGTCTAGCCTCAACTCAAGTCATCTCATTAGTGTAAAAACGTAAACTGTTGTATCAGATCGCACTGCAAGCTCTGCTTGACAGTCTTTGTATTGCTCGTTGTATTGTAACACTGAATAAATCATTTTGGATTGAAAGTATCTTGGCTTTCGTTAAATCATTGATAAAGAATTACAGTCCACGATTGGCAGCGGGATAAACTCCCCAACAGATATATAGATGTCACTAATGAAATAATTTCGATCCACCCCATCAGAGGGGTAGTTTATTATTGCTGTTTTTCAAAAATTCTTGCTGCCCGAACATTTCTTGTACGAGTTTTTGCTTCAACTTGCATATTTGAATATTTTATAGAAATATGAAGACACTATCAACAGAATAATTCCGATCCACCTCTTCAGAGGGATAGTTTATTCTTGCTGATTTTCAAAAATCCTTGCTGATCGAACATCCACTAGTGAAACAACTCCGATCCATTTCTTCAGAGAAGTAGTTTATACTTTCTGTTTTTCAAAAATCCTTGCTGACCGAGCATTTCTGGTTCGAGTTTTCGTATTTGAATATTTTATATAGATATATTGATGCCACTATAGCAATATAATTTCGATAGACCCATTCAGAGGGGAAGGTAGTTTATTCCAGCTGTTCTTCAAGAATTTTTGCTGACTGAGCATTTATAGTTCGTATTTTTTCTTCAACCTGCATATTCTGATATCAAATATAGATATGAAGATGTCACTAGTTAGATAATTTCGATCTACCTATATACTCATTCAGAGGGGTAATTTGGTTCTGATGTTGGGTGGATCTTATTAATCTCACTGGTGGCATTTATATATCTATATATATATTATATAACAATATAAACTTCGGAGCAAAAACTCGTACCAGAAATGCTCGGTCAGCTAGAATTTTTGAAAAACAGCAAGTATAAACTACCCCTCTTGTTTGATTTATGTTGAATTATTCCACTGGTTGCATCTATATATCTAAATATATTATATTCAGATATGCAATTTGAAAATAAGAAGTCGAATCAGACTAGCTCGGTCAGCATTCTCTAACATTGGTCAGCAAATTATACGCCCCCCGCGTCATTGTTGAAAATGTTCCAAAATCGCAATAGTCTCCCACTGTGCACAAATCATAAATGATTGCTCCAGAAATACATGGAACTAAAGAATTATCTCACCCCGCATGCTAAAAGGTTTTCACGCTTCTTTTCCATTGGTAGCTTTGAAGTTACGGAAACAGCAAACAGCGGTACCTATTTTTTATAAAAGGTCGTAAATCATGCGGCGAGGGTCAGAAGACGCGTGTCAAACCGCAGCGCTAATGAGTCTTCGTGAAATAAACTTTGATACCGATAGAAGAGCGCATCCTGTTTTATTGCGATAAATATTTTTTTGTACAAACGTCAAAAAATGACAAGGTTCGCGCATTGATAACAAACTGCGAAGTGACACTTTTTTCAGTTTCCTACGTTACCATGATACCTCGCACAAAACAATGCGCGAAGTAAAACAGTGCACGAAGTACCTACTTCGCGCATTGTTATGTAAAAAATATGAGATATTTATATTTCAACTTCATGGTCCTCAATCGAGCAAACATCCACGAAATCATTTATTTCTGAATGTTCTACAATAACTTTGTTTTTCTACAAACGTCAAAAAATGACAAGGTTCGCGCATTGGTAACAAATTGCGAAGTGACACTTTTCTCAGTTTCCTACGTTACCCCATGATACCTTGCACAAAACAATGCGCGAAGTAAAACTGCGCGAAGTACCTACTTCGCGCATTGTTATGTAAAATAAATTAGATATTTATATTTCAACTTTATGGTCGTCTTTCGAGCAAACATTCACGAAATCATTAATTTCTGAATGTTCAACAATAACTTTGTTTCATCTCTTGGAGCGCACGAGAGGAAATTCCTATCATGTTTGTGGAACATCGTGCGTTCCTATAGGGAGGACAGGGAGAGGCCTTTCAAGTCAGTTCAACACTATTTTTTATATCAAGCTAAGCATATTTTAACTTTAGAACTATATTTTTTGACGTTTGTAAAAAAAATTTTGTTTGCAACTCGAGCGCGAAATACTTTGGTCATCTCGACTATTTTTTTAACTCGGCTACGCCTCGTTAAAAAAATCAGATCTCGATCACCAAAGTAGCATTTCGCGCTCTAGATACAAAAATAACTATTTTGATATGCCTAGAACTGGTAGAACAGTAGATTTTCTATCGTTTCCATAATTGTTTCTGATTTTAGCAGGCATTATTCCCGAGGTAATCCAAATTCAAATTATACGCGTAAATAAACGTTCATAACCTCGTTCATAACGTTATATTCTTCAAAATATTCCATGTTTCGGGAACTCAAGAACCTCACCGTAACACAACTGTGGTAACATTGCCGTATATTCTTGAATTTCTATGTATATTGGAGCAGTCTGAAATGATATGAAATAAAGATAATTCGATATCCCACTGAAATTATGAATTTTTAATTTTTTACACATGCCAGACCCTCGTAAACATTGCAAATAAGGAATGTATATCTCATCTCCATTTCATAAATGTTAATTCCTATCAACTCTGAGCGCGGCGCCACTCTGGATACAAATTGTTGCCATGCATGCAAGGGTTTCGTAGTCCCTAACTTTTCAGGTTAATTTTTCATTTTGAGTGAATGAAAAAATTAGTACATATTTGTGAAGATCTGATCTATGTTCCTGTCGTCTCACTTTTTCAAAATATGATTCAGTTTTTTCTAAAAAAAATCGCAAAATAACGTGTTTTTTGATGATTTCCCAATTTTTTTTTAAAGAATTGAATCGAATTTCGAAAAAGTAAGACGACAGGATCATAGATAAGATCTTCACGAATATGTACAATTTTTTTCATCCACTCAAAATGAAAAATGACCCTGAAAAGTTAGGGACTACGAAACCCTTGCATTCTTGCTTTATATCATAGTACAACTTCCTCTTAGGAGAAATTAGTCGAGAAATGCAGATATGTCACTAATCAGCAAAAAAATATCGAAAAAGCACGGATATCGAGCATTTAAATACCAGTTACGTCAACATTTGTATGCTGACGATGGCGATAGACGAGTAGTGTTTTGTGATTGGTTGCTTCAAAATCATAGAGTTAACCCAAATTTTATCAAATTCATTCTATTTCCCGACGAATCAGGATGAATCAGGATTTACGAATAATGGCTTTTTTGATAAGCAGAATCCTCGCTACTGGGCCCAACAAAATCAACAACAAATTTATTGATCCAATCGCAAATACATTAGTATCAGATTCGTCAAAATATCCTTTTTTCGGGAAGTGCTTACAAAAGTAAATGAATTACTATCCATGGCACACTTGACAAAAGTAAATAAATTATTATGAAGTATTTCCGTCAGTAATATTTAATTTATGTTCTTATTTGTAATACAATTGCAAATAAATTAGTATCATCAGATTAGTCAAAATATCTCGCAAAATATCCTTTTTTCGGAAAGGCTTGTCAAAAAATGGTCGCCATTTGAAAAATAATAGTTAGACACGAAAATGTAATTATGCCAATTTGTCTTATTCATATCTATCATACTTGTCACTAAAACTTCGAGATTGTAATTTTCTGATATCACCTGGGGTCCTTAGATTAGTTTACTTCCGATCATGACAACCTAGATGTAATTTCACTCCGAAAAAATTGAATAGGCATAAAAACTTTCGAAGATATCACATTCTGATCTGAAAATGTCTCAGAAATCCAAAAATGTTACAATATACAGGGTGTTCCATTTGATAATTTAGAACCGGAGCCATTTCCGGTGAAACCGGAAGTGACCGGAACGTGAATAATATGTGAAAACTCTCCTCTTCACATACCATTTACCTATATCAATATTCCAATACAAATCATGGTCTAGAAGTTATGACTTGTCTAATAGATTCGTTGACACTCGGTATAACAAAAGGTCATTCAAAATAATTATTTATTATGCTCAATGTATTATATATTGGCCGACAAAACATTGCATGATATAGATCTTATTCACCATCATACACACTGTATAGCCTCGAAGAAAAATCAATGATATATGGTCCATTAGGAGAGCCGAGAGGAGAGCTATGATTTTTCAAAGTTTCAGATGTATCGATTTCTTCGCGAGTTTGAGTAGTCGATTTCGAGAAAAATCTTGGCCGGCAAAATATTGCATGATATAGATCTTATCCACCATCATACACACTGTATATCCAAGAAGAAAAATCAATGATGTATGGTCTATTAAGAGAGCTATGATTTTTCAAAGTTTCAGATTAATCGATTTCTTCGCGAGTTTGAGTAGTCGATATCGGGAAAAATCTTGGCCGGCAAAATATTTCATGATATAGATCTTATTCACCATTCTACACACTGTATATTCTCGAATGAAAATCAATGAATTATGGTCTATTAAGAGAGCTATGATTTTTCAAAATTTCAGATTTATCTATTTCTTCGCGAGTTTGAGTAGTCGATTTCGGGAAAAATCTTGGCCGGCAAAATATTGCATGATATAGATCTTATTCACCATCATACACACTGTATATCCTCGAAGAAAAATCAACGATATATCGTCCCTTAAGAGGGGCATGATTTTTCAAAGTTTGGAATTTATCGTTTTTTGTCTGAGAGGTGGAATATGAGAAAAATCATGCCAAGCAATGTTTTGCTTTCTGTTCTTATTCAATCTTATATATTCAGACTGTATGTCATAGAAAAAATCTATGCCTAGCAAATTCGAACGGCTTTAGATATTTTGTGGCTGCTGTGGCTGGCCACGTTTCCAATATTTGACTACCGTTGGTGTTTTGTAGCGCGCCCTGAAATTTCAGCGTAGTTGTGGCTGGAAGACGTGGCTGCTTTCACGCTGGTTAATTTGTCTAGCATCTCCATCCAAAGCACCACGAAGAAAATGGAATTTTTCAATATTACCAATCGAGTCATTCTCATGTATCAATGACCTAAACGTATCTCTAAACTCCAACCAAGTGTCTATGACTCCGTTGAATTTAGGAATAGGGATAGATGGAATTTTAGGCTGTGACATTATAGCATTGTGGTTAGTGGCTCTCGAATTGTGTATGGAAGGACCAGCTGACCTTTGTGACACACTGTCATCCAAAATTTCATCCATATTTACATCAAACTTACCCAAAACTTCCTTGCAAATGGCGATAACTTTATGAAAACAGTCATCAAATTCTTCCCTGACTTTAAATTGCATTTCCAATTCATTTTCTTCTACCAACATTGCAATGGCAGTTTGAACTTCATCAAATTCTGACGGTAAAGAATTGTGTGAATTCATCCTGGATTCCAATTCAATCAAAGCCAATTTTTCTATAGGCTGCCCATTATCCCTTTTTTCCATGTAACCATCCTCCAAATTTATTGAATATCGTTAGGCGAGCTTTCACTACACCTCTTTTTTTATTCAAAGTTTTAATATCATCTGCCATTATATTTCAATTATTCAACCCCAAATTCAAGTTATACCGTTGAAAATAATGAAATTACCAATTAGTCAACTCAGGTCACCAAAGAAACAGCCTAGATATAATATAAGGAAAGGACATGCATGGACTCACTCTCGTTGTAAAGATACCAAACCAAAAACCAATGTATTTGTGCCAAGACCCAAACCAAGTAGGCACGCCACTGCTCTCTGCTACGTAGACCTCGAAAATCACGTAGAAAATCTCCACGTTGTAGATGATGTCCACCGCTTGCGCCGTCTCCTGAATACCGGCAACTCGTAGCCGACGAGAGCGAACACCGATGTACGTATCGCTATGCACGGTGCGATAGAGTCCGATTTCGCTTAACACAAATTCTGGCGCGTACGGAGTGTCCTTGATACGCAGACGCTCGATTTCACGACTCACCGTTTCGAAGACTGTTGCTAGGCGGCCTTTTCCGCGCTCAACCGGCGTACGTTATGCGTTTGATGAATTATTTCCAACTGATTCCAGTGATTCCACAAACCAACACAGATGAATCCCTCAACCACACACATGAAATGTCTTGTCGAACTCCGTAATTTTCACTTTACTGCACTTTTATCCAAACTCGATGCACCAAATTTGCTCGAACCATAGGCAATCGGAAATGCCGAAATACAATTTTCCAATTATTGCTATCTGGGAATCCAGCTTGAAGTACCAAATGTTGGGGAGTTTATCCCGCTGCCAATCGTGGACTGTAATTCTTTATCAATGATTTAATGAAAGCCAAGATACTTTCAATCCAAAATGATTTATTCAGTGTTACAATACAAAGACTGTCAAGCAGAGCTTGCAGTGCGATCTGATACAACAGTTTACGTTTTTACACTAATGAGATGACTCAGATGACTTGAGTTGAGGGAGGCTAGACCAGACTCGCGTTTTTGTTGCCGAGCAATTGTCTCTGTAAATAAGATAGGTGGGGAAGGCGGCGTTGCCAGCTCTTACAAATTGTCCGTAGATTTATAATTTCTAACAATATCTTCATAATATATTCAAATATATATGCAATTTGGAGAGAAAATAAAAACCAGGAGTGGTCGGTCAGCAAGGATTTTTGAAAAATAGCAGGAATAAACTATACTCCTCTGAAGGGGTTGATCGAAATTATTCTACTGGTGGCACGAACCAGAAATAGTCGGTCAACAAGGATTTATGAAAAACAGCAGGTATAAACAACCCATCTGAAGGGGTGGATCGAAGTTCTTTCACTAGTCCATCTTCATATCTTCAAACAATATTCGAATATGTTATTCGAAAAAAAAAAAAAGCGAACCAGAGATGCTCGGTCAGCTAGGATCGGCTAGGATTCTTGTATACCAGCAAGAATAAACTACCCCTCTGAAAGGATGGACTAGAATTATTTTTCTGGTGGCATCTCTAGATTTTCATGAAGAATAATATGCAAGTTGAAGCAACACTTGTACCAGAAATGCTCAGTCAGCAAGGATTTTTGAAAAACAGCAGATATAAACTGCCCCTCTGAAGGGGTTGATCGGAATTATTTCACTGGTGGCATGTATATATTTCAATAATATATTCAAATATTCAATTTCAAGGAAAAATACGAACCAGATGAGCTCGGTAAACAAGGGTGTTTGAAAAACAGCAAGAATAAACTACCCCTCTGAAGAAGTGGATCAGAATCATTTCACTGGTACATCTTTATATTCTCATTGAATATTCAAATATGTCGTTTGATAAAAAAAATACCAACCAAAAATACTTGGTCAGCAAGGATTTTTGAGAATCGGCCAGTTTATAAACTACCCCTTTGAAGGGGTGGATCTAAGCGAACTCGCCATATTTTAACACACATACTCTCGCACACTTCTATCAAACTGTGTTGTATATAAAGCACAGAATTTTATTAAAAATGTAGACTATTCATTGATGAAGAATTTAGTTACATAGCTGCCAGTCCTGACGGAATTCCGGAAGGAAAAAACTCCATTGTGGAAATAAAATGTCAATCTGTAGCCAGAACTATGACTGTGGATGAAGAGATAATAGAAAGAAAAATGACATTCAGGAAAAAAACAGGTTCATTAACCAATGCTATAATTTGTACTCTCGAATCCAGGGTCAAGTGGAAATTATAATGATAATAATAATAATAATAATAATAATAATAATTTTATTTACCTATAAGTACACCAGTACAAGCAAAATAAGAGAAAATTGGTCAATAATGACATACATCCCAACAAGGACAACCTTGGTAGTGGGAGTGATATCGAATAATAATTATAATAAGATCTAAACTAATTTACATAATTACATATTACATATTAATGGTAATGATGATGAAATTGAAATAATGAGGGTGAAAGTATATGGAGTAATTTACGGAAATGGCATTTCTTATATCATATTCAGAGAATTGGTCATAGTAGACAAATCACCAAAAGGCAAACCTTGTGGGTAGTGAAATATGTCTACTTATACCATGACTCTTGACATATGATATGACCTGGAAATACTATCACTATACTACTTCTACAATATATATATGCAAATACAAGTAAAAAATCTTCTGAGATGATTTTTAGTTTTTATATATTATTTTCAACATTGTGAATTATGGTATAAATTTTTTAAATCTATATGATGATGGATGAAGAGTCGTGGATGTTGGCTTATCCATTGTTTCATTTTCGATTTGAATAATTGAGTGGAATTGAATTGCTTATATTCTTGAGGAATTGAGCTGTATAGTTTGGGCCCTAAGTAGGTATAACTTCTTTGCAGATTGTTTTTTTCAGGTCTTGGTATAGCTGATGAAGTATTTTTATGTCGTGTGTTATAGTTATGGTTTATTGGTGTTAATGTATTTCTGTGGGTATGTTGCCACGCTACGGCTGTTAAGGAAATATAGTTGTCGGGCGTCAAATAATTTTGTTTTACGAAACAGTTCATTAGTAGGGTAGGTATATGATTTTTTATACATGATCTTGATGATCCATTTCTGAATCTTCTCGAGGTTCTCCGTATAGTTATTTGTAGCAGCTCCCCAAGCTAAAATGCCATAGTTCAAATGAGGTTCAACCAAAGCATAATACAGTATTCGAAGTTGGTCAATTTTCAGAACATTCGATAAATATTTGAATTTTGATAATGTGCTACGTGACTTCTTTATCACAAACTTGATATGAGCATCCGATTTCAAATTACAGTCCATGAATATTCCCAGATATTCAATATGTCGGACCATGGATATCGTTTGGTTGTCCCCTATTTGAAGGGACTCGTAACTTGGCAAGTTCTTCGAATATGATGTAAAAGGCAATGAAGTGTGTTTTATGGATGTTTATTGTCAATAGCCGTTTTTCGAACCATTTTTAAATTATTTGCAGGTCACTTTCTGCTTTGTCCTTCAACGTCTGCCAATCTTCATCTACATAAATGATGGCCGTATCATCAGCAAAACTAACCACATCTCCTTTCAAGTCTAGTTATAATAGGTTGTTGAGATAAATATTGAAAAGTAATGGCCCCAGGACCGTTCCTTGAGGAACACCGTACCGTACAACTGTTTATTCACTTAGACTGTCATTTATTCTTACTCTTTGTGTTCTTAGTTGTAGGTAATTTTTCATCAGACTATGCGGCTTTCCCTCGGGCTTTCCTCTAAAACCAATACTTTCCAATATGTTGAGCAATTTGCTGTGATCGACGTTGTCAAACGCTTTGGCTAGGTCTATGAATATAACAAGAGTGGGTTTCGATTTATCAACACACTTACATATCCTAGATGTAACATATAGTAAAGCATCATGCGTTGACTTTTTTTCCCTGAACCCGAATTGCTTATCAGATAATATTGCATATTTGGATAGATATTTTGTGATACGCGTTTTTAGTAACATTTCGAAAATTTTTGCAAAATTTGAGATCAATGAGATGGGGCGGAAATTTGATACATTCTGTTTATTCCCACTTTTATACAATGGCTTAGTCAATGACACCTTGAAAGAAGAAGGGATCATTCCAGTTTTTATAGACCAATTTATAATATATACGAGAGTTTTCACAATATATTTGGCAACGAGTTTAATTGTCTCTGCAGTCAGGTTGTCATGGCCTGGCGCTTTTTTGTTTTTTAGTTTATTTATATATTCATTTATTTCTTCCTCATTTGTATCTCCCAAGAAAAATAAATTGATCGATTGGTCTAGAACTTCTGTCTCATAGTTGGTGTTTTGCTTTATCGTTTCTGCCATTTTTGTCCAATATTAGAAAAAAAAATGTTGAATTCATCTGCTATCTGCTTATTATCCGTAATTACGTCACCATTTTTGTCAACAATTTCATATGTGATATCATTTTTGTTCTTTTTTGACGTGATTTCGTTAACACATTTCCATAAACTAGTTGAATTATTTTTACTTTGTGAGATTTTATTCTGATAATAATTTGATTTTGCCTGTTTGATTACTTCATTCAGTTTATTTCTATATTTTTTATAGGTGCTTATATTCTCATGCGTTGGGTATTTAACTTTTATTGCATGTAACTTATTTTTGTTATTAACAGATTTCAAAATACTCTTTTATTATGGATTGGGAGTTTTTCACTTTGTTAATTTTCGTGCATTTTTGTATGTGTTTCTTTATAGTATCTACGAAGATATTGGTAGCAGTATCTATAATTACCAAAACTAATTTCCGTTTTTGGTTGTTTGGACCCTTATGGAAATGAAAATTGGAAATTTTAGATAGTGGGACAAATTGGGGCATGACAGTGTGAGAAAGAATAAAAAATTTTAAATAAAAT